CCCCAAAACCCCAAAACCCCAAAACCCCAAAACCCCTTCCATTGTAAAATCTCTTGAAATTTAATAAAATATTGCTAATCAATATGAAAACATCTAGTTTGGCATTCTCAGGAACTTCCGAAAATGTAAGTTATATACTCAAAGAAAAGAAGAATAATCATACTTCAAATCCTTTAACCTCAAAGATTTTTAATAAAATCACTGAAGGGTTATCAACTTGTCATATGCTTTGAAATCAAAGCTAAAATTTCCTCATTGAGAATAAATCACTATCAATATCGTATAGAAAACCCCAATCCAGGTCAAAGAAAGCTTTTACAAAAGGAGCATCCACACTGTAAGCAAATATTTCAAGTTCTCTTCTAAGCCTCTTTCCAAACTGCTTAATGGAAGTATTCACCCTCGAATCGATAAAATCTCAAAGACTAAAATTTATTGATACCTTCTCATAGACACGGAAATAAGGTCGGAGAGAGAAGATCTTTACTGAACAAGCATTATCCAGTAGTAGCAAAGCTGGATATGACCAAACTCTCTCATACAGGTAAGTAGCCCCAACTCTCTCCTGAAACTTCCTTAATGACAGTGCATCCTCGGTGCTGACAGTGACCTGACAGTTGATATAGTTGGTAATGAATACAAGCCCCAAGGGAATCATAAAAAGAGTATGTCCCATACTTTTGACAATAGATTCAAAAGCCTGATTAAGAAATTTTAATTCCATCCAGGACCTACCTAAATGAAGAAACTTAAAGAACAAGCTCTTCTCATCAGTGGTATTGACAGGGTAAGCCCTCGAAAGTAATGTATAGTTCTGAGAAGCCAAACAAAAAGGTCTTAACACATAAAATTGAGAATCCCTCCCACAGTCATAGGAATGCCCCGGTTGATGAATATTCTGAATCAGGAAATTTTGTGTTTAGTCAAGAATCGCGCGATTCCAACACGGAAAGGAACAACTATTTCTCAAAAATTGACGTCACTCATTCTGAATTAACTAAGCAGAATGAGAGTTATAGCATCGAGAAGTCAATGCACCATGGCAGGAATATCTCAAGAATGAGCATCCCGATGAGACTAGGCGCGCTCCAAGCCAATGATGAATCAATAGAGAGACAAGTCAGAACTTCCAGATTGGAAGTTAAGGATATTGAAATCCTCCATGTCGAAAATTCAACGGAAAGTCGGGGAGATAGTGGCTCAGATCTGAAGAAATATTTAACTAAAACCGAAGTCAGGCCTTCTCATACCAAAGCTCAGTGTATCAAGAGTGATAGTAAAAAGACCCTAAAGCACTTCAAATTCTCTCCTGGTACTGAGAAACCTATTTTCCAAAAAGCAAGGAAAATTTCTTTGAAGGATGAGTTCATGCTCACCAAAAGAAAAAGCATAAGTAAATGACAATCTCATAATGATTTTGGAGCGATTAATTTCACTCTCGGCCTAATGGATCCCAGGAATTCCCCTATGAAGAAATCAGAAATGAGAAAAAACATGCAGGAACTCAAAGATCTCAGATCTCAAAATATTTCCCTGACAAAAGAACTGGAGCACTCCAAAGAAGAGGTGAAGGATCTGTCTGAAAGGATGGACCTATTCACCAAAGATAACGAGTTCTTAACTATGAAACTTCAACGGCTGCAAACAAAGAACGCAGAACTAGAGAGATCCCTAGCTATCACTAACGAAGCTGAGAATATTAAGAAGATATTGTCCAACCTAAGTATCCTCTTTATGAATAATAAAAAGGAACTTAATATTAGTCCATACCAGATGGACTTAATTACAAAACTCTTTGGAGACGTAGGAACTGACAACTTGAAAGATCGCATCAAAACATTGGAAAATAAGCTAGATACCAAGACTAAGGAACTCATTAGCCTTAAGAACGACTTCAAAAGCTGCATGGGCTCATTTTTAGACGAAATACAAAAGATGGAAGGCCCCAGATTGCTGATGTCGTCTGTCAAACACAAACTTGCTTCCCATAAGGTTAGGTACAACCCTAAAATCTTGCAGGAGTGTTTAACTGAAAGTACAAACGAGTCAGACTATGCTAGGATAAAACTCGATATACTCAATAAGCTTGAGGAGCTTAACGACGAGTTATCTCCAAGAGACGTTAATAATACCTGAAAAATGCCAAACGGATCTAGACCCCAAAAAGAAACAGATAATGAGTTAGAAGCATTTATGATAGAGCTTGAGCATTTGGATAATATATCCCCAAGAAACCCGAATTCCAAGGATGAAAACAAAGATTCTCGCTTTGAGAATACTTACGATAACCTACTTTCAAAGGTATCAAATATTGATTACATATAGCCATCTTTCTTACTCGATAACAGTAGAAGCCCCAAAAGAAAAAAGATGAAGTCAAAGAGGATCCTTGACACAGACATCCTCCAGATGCTGTACACTCAATCTAAATGTCTGGAGGAGAACATGAATGCTGTATATGGAGCCTCATACAGCAAATTTTAAATAATAGAGGCCAAATCCAAACCATTAGCATCAATAAATTAATTTTTATACGGGGTTTTGGGGTTTTGGGGTTTTGGGGTTTTGGGG